GTGTTGAGAAATCAAGTGTTCTTCCAAGGGAATTCATTTAAAGCAAATGAAGAGTTTAATTAGCTCTCTACCTAAAAAAAATAATTCACCTGGATATTAACATATTTTCTAAAAGTTTGGAAGTATGGATTGATAAAGCTAGTTCATGATATCTGTGTAAAATCAATTTCAATTTAGACAATGGTCACCATATAGAAACATAGAAACATAGAAACATAGAATGTGACGGCAGATAAGAACCATTCGGCCCATCTAGTCTGCCCAATTTTCTAAAAACTTTCATTAGTCCCTAGCCTTATCTTATAGTTAGGATAGCCTTATGCCTATCCCATGCATGCTTAAACTCCCTTTACTGTGTGTAACCTCTACCACTTCAGCTGGAAGGCTATTCCATGCATCCACTACCCTCTCAGTAAAGTAATACTTCCTGATATTATTTTTAAACCTTTGTCCCCTCTAATTTAAGACTATGTCCTCTTGTTGTGGTAGTTTTCTCTTTTAAATATAGTCTCCTCCTTTACTGTGTTGATTCCCTTTATATATTTAAATGTTTTTATCATATCCCCCCTGTCTCGTCTTTCCTCCAAAGACGATTCCCTTTATATATTTAAATGTTTCTATCATATCCCCCCTGTCTCGTCTTTCCTCCAAGCTATACATGTTAAGATCCTTTAACCTTTCCTGGTAAGTTTTATCCCGCAATCCATGAACCAGTTATATATGATCTATAATAAAACATTTTACTATTGTTAGTGTCCTTATTTGTGTATATAGTGTTTTAGAAATGGTATATTTACATTTATGGTAAAAGTAATTTAATGTTTTGTGGACTTATGGATTGCTATATCAACAGGCAGACTATGCCTCTACCTATTGGTGGGTGTCCTTATATAATGTCTATATTGGAATATTAAATGTGACATATACATGTATATTTATAATTTTATATTTATTTTTTTTATTATCATTGCAATAGTCCACCACTCCCTGTAGTTCTATCGAGTTGCGGCCTGGGTAAAGAGAAAATAATTCCTGCCCTCTGTGACTTCAGCAGGGTCATTCAGACATCACCAATGTTCCATCCTCATGGAGATGCAAGTGAGGCCTATCAATCAGACCTGCATTTCAGGAGGCCAAAATAAGATTGTACTCTTTTTTTTTTTTTTAAATACATGTATATATAAAGTGACATGAAGGGCATCAATTTCCCCTTCTATTCTTCACTTTCACACTAACTTCTCTCATTACTAAAATTTCCCTATACTTCTGCCCACCTGTCCCTGGCAACACCATCTTCATTATTTCCACTTTAATCCCCTCCCCTCTCTATTCATCCCATGTACTCTGCTTATACCTTTAAAGCCTACATCCTCCAACTTCTCCCAAATCCTCTATATACATACCCTCCTACAAAACCTTTAAATCCTACTCCCATCTTCACTTTCTTGCTATCCTTTTGCTCCTAGCAGCTAGTGATGTCGCTGTAAACCCAAGTCCCATCTCAGTAAACCCACCACGTACTAACTGAAGGAACTACATCAATCTCATACCCATCTCATGTTACTCTTCCTCTAAATCCTCCTTCAATTCTGCCCTCTGGAATGCACACTCTGTTTGCAATATTACAAAACCCACTGCTGTCCACGACCTCTAGATCTCTTGTTCCCTAGAATTACTAGACTTAACAGAAACATGACTCTCCCCATCTGACACTTCTACCCCTGCTTCTTTATCCTTTGGTGGTCTTCAACTTAACCCAAGACACTCTGAATGTAAAGGTGGTGGTGTAGGGTTTCTCCTTTCACCTCACGGCTACTTCAAACCTCTACTCACCCCCCTTTCCCTCTCTTACCCATCATTTAAAAGTCATTTGATTTGCCTCTTTAAACCCTTCTCTGCTAACATTGTCTTTATTTATCGCCCCCCCCTGGTTCCCCTCTCCTCTTCCTTGACCACTTTACTGCCTGGCTACTTGACTACTTCCTCTCTTCTAATATTCCATCTCTAATTCTTAGGGACTTATATATTCCCATTAACCCACCTTTGACCTCAGCAGCCTCTAAACTACTCCTACCCATGTAGCTGGCAATTCCCTCAACCTAATTTTCTCTTATGCATGTACAGTATCTAATGTTTGCAACACTCCATTTCCTCTCTCTGATCACCACCTCTTATCGTTTGCTGTCAAGTACTCCCTCACCCAACAATCTCACCCTAACCCCCCTCAATGCAGGAGGAACCTTAATTCTATTGACCTCCAGAAACTGTCAGCTGATATTGGTTCACAACTGCCCTTCCCTCATCTGTCCCTCACTGGCCATCTCCACATATAACAATACCCTCACTTCTTCCTTGAATGCTGCAGCCCTACTCCAAACATGCACCTTAAGGAGGGCACACCCCAACTGAGCATACTAAATCAACACAATACCTGCAAAGATGCTTCCATTTTGCTTAACGAAATCTCGCACCCCAGCAGACTATCTCCATTATAGATTCTTGTGTTCATATAGTGCAACCCTTGCCCTCGCCAAACAGTCATACTTTTCCTCTCTCATTAGTTCATGATCCCACAATCCCAGGCTTCTCTTTGACACCTTTAACTCTCTTCTTTGCCCTGCTGTGGCCACCCCCCAAACTAACCTTACAGCCGATAGCTTTCCATGCTACTTTACAGAAAAGATTTAACAGCTATGGAAAGAATTCTCCCCACCTTGCCTTTCTTTTTCTCAACCACACTTGATGATGCCTTTCCTACCCGTAAGACTTTCTCCCCAGCTACTAAACAAGAGGTGGCTGCGCTTCTCCTTTCCTCTCGCCCCACCACTTGTCCGCTCGAACCTGTCCCATCTCACCTTATCAGATCTCTCTCCCCCTGTCTTGTGCCTTCCTTAACATCTTCAATGGCTACAAACAGGAATGAAGAAGCATTGTAAGAGATAGCCTACATTTGTTAGCCTGACAGCAGTATATTACTGAGTACTCAAAAACTACATACTGTTAAGGTGCAGGTAGAAATTATATTTTCTAGCTTGCAGTGTGGCAGTGCAAAGGACAGAGGGCATTTCCTACTGTAATGTAATACCAGGGTATAATATGCAGTCTTGAACATGGTATGCCACTGAGGCACACTCAAAACCACATGTGAACAAGTATCAATCAACAGAAGTTTTCTTGAAGACTTGCTAGTTTGCATTATGAAGCAATTAATTTGATTCAATTTGAATAGCTTTTTATTTGAATAGAAACATTTTTATGGAACTATGCCATAGCAGAATCCTAGTAGATTGCATCCACTGAAACACCATTATTTTTATTTCAACTGATTTCTACAAATGTTTCCATTATTTATTTATTTATTTATTTATAAAATATTTTACCAGGAAAGATACATGTAGATTTCTCTCGTTTTCAAGTATGTCCTGAGTCCACAAAACATTGCATTGTTACATTAGGAAACAATACAGGACAGTGAGCGAAAAGACAAGACACTAAGTACAAATAGGAGAAAGTGCTGGTCTGCGCTCACACCCTGTGTACCGCACAGAGACTCCAGGTGTTACATTAGGGTACAATAAAATAAAAAAAAAACAATATGAATACACGATATATACAACATTTAATATGGAACAGGTAGGAAATATATAATTAACCATGACACATGCATTCTGTTTTGAGGTATGTAGAGAGGGATCTCTTAAAGGACTTTAGGCTTGGGGAAGATTTTAAAGTGTGCAGGAGGTCGTTCCACAATTGCGACGCTCTGTAGGAGAAGGAGGATCGCTAAGGAAAATATGTTATTTGACACCAACTTGTTTAGTACTCATAATATTGTTGTGCTCAATGAATTCCTGCATATCATCCCTTTTCCTTAATATCCTTTCTAATAATTCTTGAACCCCCGCTGTTAGGCTCACATGTGTCAAATTTCCACAAGTACAATTTCTGAAAGTAAAGAATCAAGTAAGATTAAAACAGCAGTTTGACAATTTCTATAATAAGCTCACTTAGTACTCATGGATGAATACTATCTGGTCCTGTGGCTTTGTCGGGCCATGAAATCATCACATGGTCAGTCTGACCAACAGTTTAACACTTACTATCATAACATAAAAAACTTAAATATAACAGGATATTAGGATGTTTTTAGATCACAATCTGTTAAATTCACAGCCTTATTTCCAGTAATTATTTCTGTTATGTTCCACTTCCCTTCTTGTTACTATTATTAGTTATTTATGATATTATACTTAAGTAATTTTCTAAGAGCTCCTCTTATTTCCTTGTTTTTTAAGCTGTATATAATAGGATTTAACAAAGGAGTCACTAAAATGTATAACAAAGATCTAAACTTGTTTATGTTAATCTTGTCTTCTTCAGATGGAATTAAATAAACAATAAGAAGAGTCACATAAAAAGTGCACACTGAGGTTAGGTGGGAACTGCACGTTGAAAAACACTTTCTCCGGCCACTTGTGGAAGGGATCCGTATAATAGAAAAGAAGATGAAAGCATAAGTTATAATTATAAAAACAAATGGAACAAAGACCATAAATACAGAAGTCAGCAGCTCATGTAATACTAAACTGGAAATGTCTGACGTAGACAATGCTGCGACAGGGCCAACATCACAATAGAAATGGTTAATGTAACTCTGGCCACAAAACTGTAACTGCCAAACGAAAATCATTCCACTTGAAATAAAAATAAAAACTATTAACCAGGACCCAGCAACCAGTGCAATACAAACATTAAGATTCATTATTAAACTGTAGCGTAATGGTTTGAGGATGGCCATGTATCGGTCGTATGACATCGCAGCAAGAAGAAAACATTGTGAAAATACAGAAACACCACATAAGTGTAGTTGAGTGATACATCCAGCTACAGATACTCCTCTTTTGTTCTTCAATATAACATCGAGCATTAATGGGACAACGGTGGTGGGAAATATCACATCAGCTAAGGCCAAGTGTTTTATGAAGAAGAACATCGGGAACTTGAGATGGTCGCTGATTGTCACCAGGACAATTATGAGCAGATTTTCACTTAGTATTAAAATGTAGATTAGCATTATTAGCATAAATAATATAATTTTAAGATTGTAAAAATCTTGAAATCCCAGAAGTATAAACTCTGTAATTTTAGTTTGGTTATTTTCACACATTGTCCTTCTCCTAAAAGAATGCACAAAAATGATAAACGTTACTTAAAATATAGATGGGCTATAGTGTAACACTATAGATTTTTTTTTACATTTTTTTTTCATTTTGAATGACATTTTAAACTGATTTCTACTGTTTACATACTTATTATAATGAGTAGTCTGATTGGCATAGCCTTGACTCCGCCCCCTCATGCAGTGTGTATGTGTGTGTGTGTGTAGTAGGATGCAGTAGGGTGTGTATTGTGGGTGAGGTGTAAGTGTATAGTGGATGCAGTGTGTGTAATAGATGTAGAGTGTGTGTTTATATGGTGAATGCAGAGTGTATGTTTGTGTAATGGATACAGTGTGTGCAGTATCTGTGTAATTTATGTGTGTGTCGTGTTTGTGTGTAGTGGATAAAGTGTGAAGAGGATTTAGCGTACATATAGTTAATGCAGAGTGTATGTTTGTGTAGTGGTTGCAGTGTGTGTAGATGTAATGAATGCAGAGTGTGTGTTTATGTAGTGGATGCAGTGTGCAAAAATGCACATCCCTAATGTTTAAGGTGCAGTAGTTATAAACAATATATATGAGAGACAGGAGTAGACCCGAGGCCAGCTTCTACATGTACACAGGAACATTTAAACTCTGCAGAGGAAAAGCACATTAAATATGGACAATGTTATCTCACTTATAAAGCATCTAATAAAGAGGAGACAGACTTAAAATGATATATTTCAAATGACTGGTCTTTAGCCATAGTTAATCTAGTGAATCAAATGAAATTTGAAAAGGATATCAAATAAAACAACTCCTTTGTTGAGCTCTCCCCAAACCTCAACGCAGACATTTCACCACAAGCATCCACACAACTAGGGCCAGAGACAATATAAAAAATAATCCAAGAGGGTCATAGTGTTAGGTGTTGATAGAGAAGGTTTATTAAACCAAAAGGACAAAGGAAAAATACAGCTGATAGGCCTTTATCATTTATAGCAGAAGCAGAATAAACAAACTTGTATTTACTTGTATATTGAGATCCATATAAAGCTTATTCAAAATCTCCAGGGTCATACAACTTTTAAAAGCAGTCTCTATTTTTTGAAGTTCAGCCTCTAAATTGGTGAAATATTGTAATTTTATTTTGTCCTTTTGGTTTAGAAAACGTCTGTACCTACACTGTACACCGGAATGCCTATGGGTTATTGTTTTATAGCATCTATGTGGGGACTACGGATCCCTACCGTGGTGCTCCAGTGCATTCCCCTTTGTGTACAACACAACTACTTTGCTTTTTGCAAGGACCGTGATGGATTAAGATCCCACAGGGCCCAAGTTGGATTACTGGTTTAGGCCACCCCATCCTTTTTTACATGGGACCAAACAGATTCATAGTTTAGAACCCCACATCTAACCCCTGGACCTTTGGCAGCTACCTAACGTCACCTTATATTTAATTCTGTTTTGCCTTTAAAAGTTGTTTTGATTTTTTTTTTTTTTTAAGCATTTTGTTTTTTTTAATAAAAACTTTAAGATACTGCATTTGTTTCTTCAATACTGTTTACTTGTTTTATTACAAGCTAACCTCTACTACTTGTTTAGTAATTATATACCATATAAATACATGCATTCTGTAATGGTTAATGATTTAATAAAAAAAATTTCTTAACACTTACATTCTAGGAGAGGAAAACATCCACAAAATAAATGTAAAAACATAACTCACACTCATTAACTATAATCTATAATTACTAATATCTGCTCTCTAATCACAAGATAATTTTAAAATGAATTTAATGAGAATTATTCTCTAGTTTACCAGATATTTTACATTCTTCCCCGTGTTAAACAGATGGCTTTGTCAATAAATTCCCAGATGTGATGCCCATTTTATAGCTTTCAAATCGGAGTGAGGGAGATACTATTGTATCCTAATTGTGTTGAGAGATCAAGGATTGTCCTAAGAGAATAAGTTTAAAACTAATTAACTTGAACAGTTTAATTAGCTCTGTATCTAAAACAAACAACACACCTGGGTAATCAGATATCTTACAGAAGGTTAGAAGTATAGTTCGAGAAATTTTTGTGTAAAAACTATTTCAGTTTAGACTGTGGTGACCATAGACATCTATAATCTGTAATAAAACACATTTTAATATTTTTTATTTGTGTATATAGTATTTTAGAAATGTTATATGTTCAGTTGTGGTACAAATATTTCAATCAATGTTTCAGCACCTGCCTCATGATGGGTGTTTCTTGGGGGGGCCTATCCTGGCATTTTAAATGTGATTATAGATATATACATTTTTGTTCATTATGATTGTAGGAGTGCACCACCACCTGTGTAGAAAAGTTGTGGTCTTAGGGAGGGAAGTTAGAGAAAGAACACTATTTATAGGAATTAACTATTATGTAGATACATAAGATAGAGAGATGAAGGTTATGCCAGAAGAAAAAGTATAAAATACTGAGATAAATATATGTACACACAAGTCCAATACAGTGGCCAAGGTTTGTGGACATGAGTGAACAGCACAATGATAAGTTCTAATTTGCCAAGGTGTTATTCCACAGTCTTAGGGAAATGTCCTTTGTAGGAGCCGGGTAATGGATAGTTCTTGGAATCCATATGTGGGAACAGAAAGAAAAGATAATAGTGCAATAAATCCTATACAAAATGGTCTATTTAAAACAGATGCCTGGTTAAGCCTCCAACTTGCTGCCCTTTTTGCCATTTTGCTTACTAGGTATAGCTATCTGAGGGCATTGCACTCTGCATCATGTACAGTGAAAGTGCTTAGGTCTGCCCTTTGTGATTTCAGCAAGGCTATGCAGAAATCACCACAGTTGAGTACATTTAGCAGAAAAGTATATTGGGAGACCCAAAAATTATTCTTCTTTAGAAAAAAATAATTTAGAAAGGGACACAATGTGCATCAATTTAGTAAAATTCACTCTCTTCCAGTCTACTTACATAATGTTGTGGGAGAATGGAGGGAAAGGACAACCAGTGACGGTTTTCCTATAGTTCTAACAATATAAAAAACAGAGTAGTTTCAAGGTACGATGGCGCTAAAAGCAAGTGTGATGTCACTCCCACACCTAAAAGACTTATGTACAACAAAATATAAAACACATCATAGTGTAGTAAGTTAAAATGTGCTGAGTGAATATATTAATTGGAGCACTCAAAGATAAAGAGCTACTTAAAAGCTGGCTCTGGCTGTATAGGTGTTTTTCTCCACACTGAGTGAATGTCTCAGGAGTCAGGTACCACCAGGTATATCGGTTTTATGAAGCAGGTACTCAGGAACCAGCTGGTAAAAAAAATTACTTTTATTTAGAGTAAAAGTAAAATCTAACATAGGTATAGCTGGATAAAAAACACACGTTTCAATCTTTAGCTAGGTCTTCCTCATGTGCATGCAACAAAGCAATGTTCACATCTCAATATATACATAAAACTTAACAGACCTAATTAGGTTTAGGTGTGTCGATTACTTCCACTAAACGCCCGTTACCATATATGGTGTGATTTTGCCCCCTCCAATATAATGGTAGCTTAAATTCATACTCTCTTCTCTTCTTGAGTCTGTCGTGAGTCCTCCCTGGTGGTGGCTCCTCCAAGATGGCAGCACATCAACTTCCTATGATGCATTTCCAGCTGTGACTATGTCCATCTTGCCTGATTTCAAAATGGCTGAACTTGCATTCCTGGAAAAGACGTGATATCAGATCAGATCGGAAGCTCAGTCCTCTTAATCCATTGAGTACATATGAGTCAGAGTAAGTAAGGGCAGCATCCCAAATATGAATATAATAGAAAAAAACAGAGAGTTAAAAGCAAATCCATTCAATATTAATGTAGTTTTGAAAGATAGGAAAATAAAGCATAGTAGCCCAAAATGAATAAATGTAATAGATGCTTGCCTTCTGTATATATTTTTATCAGCATGTTTCTTTCTGTCTCTTTTTCATGATATATATATATATATATATATATATATATATATATATATGTGAAAAGAGCAATCTCGCCACATTGCATTGGAGAAGCCTGGCTGCCCGCCTGCTGCCTTTGGACTATGGACCAGACTTTATGTAAATGTGTTAACCCAGATAGCTATGCCATGGAGCCCATTCGTGTAGTTAAAGACTTCGGCTCCATGGCAATTGAACTGTGTGAATAGGATCTGAGCGCTATTCGGTAGTTTTGTGCGCTCAGATCCCAGCTATCTGGGGATATGTGAAATGTCTGTGTGTTATGTGTAAAAGGTGACTTTATGTATTTTAAAGTGTTTTATGTATTTTTGCAACCATGTGCTCAATGGAGTCTGCCTCTATCCCTGGATAATTGGATTACGTTCCCCATTGTCTCCAGGATAGAGGTCTCTGTAAAACCTGTTTGAGCCAGATATCCATATGCCAGCCAGGCCCCAAAAGATACTTTTACTAACTGTTGAACCCCATGTTTGATTCATGCCATTTTTTAATATGTTGTTCCCCTGAATGGATTGATTGTGAATATGTAATTTTATGTGAATTTGATGTTTGGTTTTAGAGTTATGAAAGTTGGGTAGAAAGTATGTTTTAACTGTATGTGTAATTGAGTTTTCTCTCAGGATAAGGGGAGGGAATATGTGGGATGTAACTGATATGTGATTGGTTGTTTTATACCTCCCTGTGGGCGGCCCTGTATTTGAAAAGACTGTAATAAAATCCAGGCAGACCACTGCTTGACCCTCAACACGGAGCCTTGTCTCGTTCTTGGAGGGATTCACTGTATGCTGTTAGAGACTGATTGCCAGAAGTGTAAGCTGATTGTCTGCTTTTCCTGTTCGTCTGCTAGCAGCTATTTGGGAGGTTCCAGTTCGGGAGTTGGAGTGCTATTTTGTATACAGTTCGGGAGTTTGGTGTTCTGCAGTAGCTGTGCCTGTATCTCTGGAAGGGGAAGATCTCCTAAATGGTTTTTACCCCTTGTGAGCAAAACGGTCCGTTACAATATATATATATACGTATATATATTTA